CCTGTCACTGTGAATGCCTTAAAGGGCTCTGCTGCTGTAGCTTCCTACCTCAATGTTCCTGAACACCAAAGAAGCCTGCATTGTGTATTCAACAGGGCCTGGCTCCGCAACTCGGTCTCCAGCAGCCTGCTTGTTACACTGTCTCAGCCGGGTCTCCGCTAGCCAAGCCACCCCAAAATACCCCAAGCCTGAATCTCCCCAAAGCCCTCTGCCCTGAGACGTACAACCCTAGCCTCGGGCTTCCAGAGGAGTAATAAGGTCGGTTGTTCCTTTGAAGAAAGGAAAGGGCAGCAGCTTGTTGCTTTAGCTTGAGTTAATCATTGCTTCATGTCAAACACGCTGCTGGGTTCATTTAGACTAAAAGTACAAGTGCATTTCATGAAAAAGAGGTTTTAAGTAGGTGTCATGTAGACAGGATCAAGTGAGAAATGGTTACAAGCAAATAAACGTAAAGTACTTTTTCTAGTGGCTAAGACTTAAAAAGCTACAGACTAGATTCAAGGTAGGTTTCTCACCCATCTCTTTCCAGCCATGGCTGACTGGAAGTCGGGACTTTCCACAGAAGCACAAGGTGTTGGTTTCCCTTGTCTTTTTAGGTACAGGTCTTTGCCTATAAAGATTTTGTTCTCTTTTATTATTTAGTTCCTAGAGATGCCCACTCCCCCTTGTTAGAAAAGCCCATCTTTCTTGGCCTGGAAGAGTTCTGCCCCTTGTGTCCATACACCATGGATGACAAGATGGTTTCTTAGCTAGCCTTATACGGTCACAAGCTCACTGGTTTGTCCCCAGGCTCGAGATGACCTCATGCTGTTCTTCCTTTCCTGTGGCTGTCCCATCCCTATGATTCATGTATTAATAGGGCTTCCATTGTTCTTGGTCATGTCTTGCGTTGTTTCAGTGAAGACAGGTAGATAGCTGCCTTCTATGGGCAGAAAACCCAGTTTCTTCCTTTATTTGGTCATAGACCTTAAAACATAACATCGGAAGCATTCATAGTGACTCCTATAGCATTGATGCATACATATCACGATGGTATTAATCACCAGCATGTAATTACCTTTCATTAAAAGAGCCTACTATACTGTAAAAGTATATAGAGTAATACTGTATACAGTCATCTCACTGACTTATCATTTAAGCTTCAGATGCTGCAAGATCTTTTGTACTTCACTCACTAGGTTGATAACTTATGTTATCCTTTATGGAATGCACCTTCACTGCTCTGCCTGACAAGAAAATCCACATTCCTTTGTCTAGGGCTGGCTGGGATCGTGCATTGTTTGCCAGAGGCATTTCGAGGACACAATGCTAGCACATACCCAGAGCTCTTTGTACACACCCTGTACATGCGCCTCAACAGAACATCACTGATCGAGGAGATGTTGCTTTGCAGTGGTACGTAACATGGGTATATGACATTGACAAAGTGTGTTAAATGTGGCATATCAGCCCTGGCAAGAGTAGCAACCCTCCTTCCCCCCTCCAAAGGCCTCTGTGTCACAAACAGACTATGAAAACACTCAGCAGAAATGGGGAGAAGAGGCCACATAGGACTTACTCTGGGAGCAGCTGGGGAAGGCTAGGGATGGATGGGCATGCACATTTCATATCTGAGTTACGATCACCCTGTCAATCACGTCGTGCTGTTCATCTAACCATTGCTCCAACAGATATTACCACCAGTATTAACATGCCCACACCAGCCTTTGTCTCGTTTCATACATTCATTTTGTGTAATTCGGCACAGATGTGCATGTTTCATTTGCAAAAGCGGCGAGGAGTCCTGGGGCACCTGATAAACTAACTGAAGTGTTGGAGCATAAGCTTTCGTGGGCAAAGACCCACTTCGTCAGATGCATGTCAAAGTGGGTCTTTGCCCACGAAAGCTTACGCTCCAACACTTCAGTTAGTTTATCAGGTGCCCCAGGACTCCTCGCCGCTTTTGCAAATGAAACATGCACATCTGTGCCGAATAAGTTTCATTTGTAATTGTGAATTCTTAAAGAAGTGCTCCTATGGTTAAACGGAGATAAAACCAACATGAGGCACCTGGAAGCATTGGACTCAATAACGGCTCTTTATGGGAAAGGCAATGGGTTTTTTTTTTGAATTCTCATTAGTATTCTCATTAGTTCCATTGGATATTTCCAAAGCTGCACAGAGTTCTGAAGACAAAAGTTATTTAGGCTCCATCAGCTCTTGCTAGCAGCTGTTGCAGGTACCATGTTTTCATCTTCCTTTCTGAAAATCTGTCTACACTGCAGTCAGGATGATTACAGCATATGTTGACACACCTAAGCTAGTGTTGCTCTAACAACAGTGGTGAAGCTATGGTAACACAAGCTGTAGCAGCCCATCCAGGACCCTGGTTATGTACTCAAGCAGCTAGCCCACGTTATCTAGCTTTAATGATACTATTACCTACTGCACAGTTATCTTGAGTGTGTCTTACATATGTTGCTGTCACATCTCTCATTGCCAGGTGGACATATCCTACAAGAACTTCCCACCAAGAGGTGCCAATCCACAGCTCTGACATGTTTATCACCATGCTACTGGAATTACGCATCACTTCATCACTAGTCAGCAGAAAAAGGTTTCACACTCCACCCCCAAAACACCTTCCAACTCCTCAGGAATCTGCTGTGCTCAACAGCTCCAGCCCTCTGTAGATGCCCACTCAAACAGCAGAGTTTTGTCATGGGGCCCAGAAGGCTGACAACAGAAAAAACACAGTTTAGTGTTAAACAGATGCAAAATGAAAGGTTTTACATCCGTTCCATCCACCACAATATTTCAGATTATGCTCACCTGAAACAAGATATTTTGTTCTGATTTTCTCCCAATGAAAAAGCAACAGTTTGGGGCAACAATCAAATTTTCTAGAGGGTCATTTTTTATTTTGTGGAAATTGCTTTTCCTGTTAAAAAAAATCATTTGGATAGAAAATTCACAGGCAGCTCTAAGAAGAATATGCAGTATTTACAGATGTAACACTAAAGCATAGGATGCACACCAGGAACATCTGCAGCAGTGTGTGGGACGGGGGAAGAGAAGAGGGAGGGAGGTGGCTATACAGAAACTGGTGCTAGCCCAGGCTTATTGGTTAATCGGCTAAATGAGTACACTTGAACAACCCTAGAGAAGAGGCAGCTGTACTGTAATCCTGCTCTGTTCTTTACAGAATAAAGTCTGCTCTTGGTGGTTTGTCTGAGTGGGTCTGGTCTGAGGGGCGCACACACTAACACTGAGCACACCAAGAAGCTTCAATCCTAGTCTCCCAAAGTTGTGTAAATAGTCACAAGGCTTCCCCTATACTGAATAGCCTCACACTGGACCAGTGAACAGGAGAGTCTATATCTGTTTGCAACATGCCCTTTGTATTAAGGCACTATGAGAGAGGTGCTGCAGCTAGCAATCCAACTACAAGCCTGCCGACCGGCTTCCTGCTACTCCCTCCAAACTCCTCCATCCTTCAGCCTGTGTTCTCCCTCTGAGGTCCATGCAATTTGCTATAGCCCTTACTTCACATTCAACTCCCCCCATGCTGCGGCTTTGTCCTCCATTCCTTCCCTCCCTCTTCTTTCCACCTACCCCTCATTCTGTGTCTCTTCTGCCCCAAGTCCTCTCACACCCCTTGTCAACTAGGGACTGACACAGACAGGCACCAACACCTCCTCACTCGCTTCTCTCGGTAGCCGCTTGCTGCTGCCACCACCTCCCCCAGTCTTACAGCCACCGTGGAGACAAGCCCTCCCAGGGGAGAGCTGTGGTTGAGGGGGAGGGGAGGTGAGGCATATGTCTAGGAACTGTGCCCAACCCGTGGTATCCCTTCAAGAGTCCCAAGTCAGCACAATAGAGCCAGCACCTTGTCACCTAGTTCCCTCTACAATAATCCTCTATTACTCAATCTAAAGCCCTGTCTAGGGAAATTAGGCCAACTTTACCTGTGTCTATGTGGCTGGCCAGAAAGACTCTAGGCTGGCCAGAAAGACTCTTGGCTCAGAGTCCCTCAGCAATAAGCTGGTAGCTTGTGCTGTTCTTGCAGTATTTCCCCACTCACCGGGGAAAGGAGGAGAGAAATTAGGTCGTAAGTAGCCAAAGCCCCAGCTCAGAATGATGGGGAGGATCTCCCTCACCACACACAGTTACTTTTTGTGCTCCTCCTTCACGCTAGCTGTTTCTCCTATCTCCCTCGCCACACACAGTTACTTTTTGTACTCCTCCTTCACGCTAGCTGTTTCTCCTTCATTTTCCAACATACAAGTCTGCCATAACAGAGCAGTAATGCATGCCATCCATTAGCCTGCGTCTGGCAGCAACCAGTGCCTGAGAAATCACAGGGAGCTGCAAGCTGCTGAGGTAGATCATCCCAACATGCCTCAGGTGCCCTGGAGAATGAAGGTTTTATATGCCTTTGCTCAAAATAAAGGATCCTCCCTAACATAGTCTTGTGTTTGCTCATTGCTCTTACAGAGGTCAAATCCTTTCCTGCATTCCACTAAGCTCGTGTCTTCCTAACTGATGCCACCTGGCCTCCAGGTTCACAGGTCCATTAGACAAGAGCGATTTCCTTGGGTTAGCTTAAGATGCGCAGCCTTAGAATTTCATTGGCCTCTGCCATCATTAGCGTGCGCACATCTCCCACGTTGCCTTTTTCTTCTCTTTTTATATTGAAGTCCCTCACTAACACTAGTCATTTGTTCATCTGTCCCTGTGTGGGAACACTGCCTGGGGGGGGGGGGGGGGGCGGGGAAAGAGAGATAGGGTAACCAGAACTGACCCAAACAATCCAACTAGAGGTAAACCCCCAATTTATAACCTAGCACCACACTAGTGTCACTTTTAGCCTCTCGTCCACTCCATACCCTACCTGGTAATTTGTTTTCTTTCTTGCCCACGAACCAGAGGCTTTCACTGTGGTCTCCTGAATCACTAACTCCCTGCTAGCTGCAGTTAACAGAGAAGTCAGCAAAACCCATGAGTAATTCAGTCCTTACCTTCTACGACGGAGAGGAGATTGCCTTCACTCTCGGATCTCTTTGACTCCGCTTTCATCTTTAAGAGCCCAGGATACAGCAGGAGGCCCGAAGCTTTTCCTCCCTCCTCTGACTTGTGGGAAATGAGGTGGGGAAGGACTGTTCCCACCTATAAGCACCCCTGCAATGGGTCTTGGAAGGACAAATTGTCTCTGTTGCCGGGCGAGAGGCAGGTTCACAGAAAGGAAGCCACTTCCCCTATCAGTAATAGTAGATGTGTGATGGAGACGACCTATTTCTTCCACCCGCTCCTTAAGGTGCTATCAGCATTTCCTGAGGGCCCATGGCCTTGCTTTGGGCTGCAGCTCAGTGGTTTATTCTTTGGGCCTGAAGCTGAGGAGAAACCTACCTGCTCTGAGAGAGCTGCAAACCTACCCTAGGGCTTTTCAAGCAGGAAAGAGGGAGCCATGAGAAGGGGGCCTGGCAGCTCATTCTGCTGGGGCTGGTTTAACTGTTGCCTCCTGGAATCTTCTGGGAGTTTGAAAAACAAACCAACTCCTCAGGCCACAGTGGCTGGCTCTGGGCTGCAACGAGCTGAACGAGTAGCTGGCTACAGGTGATGCAGCGTGCCCTGAGAGAGGTGGGGCTGTGGGAAGGCTCAGCACACCTGTGTGCTGCTGAGCACTGCCTCTAGGTAGCACAGGCTCAGCAAGGAACTGTTTCTCGAAGGTTTCTCCCTAGAGCCAGTTAGGGAAGGGTGTGGATGAGGGACTCAGAGGCAAGACGAGGCTGGGAATGAGTGAGGTTGTGAAAGCTCCTAAAATGAGGCCGTGTTTAAGGGATTTTCCAGGGGCTGTTCAGAGGAAGAGCCTTTGTAACAGGGCAGGGTTTGCAAGCCATCTTCAATGTCTGGGGAGCGCTTTTGTACCTCATGAAGATTTCTGAGGGAATAACTTTATGGCTTACAGTACACACAAAAACCTCACTCCAGCTATTTCCCCTGGGCACAGCCTTCAGTCAAAGTACGTTGTATGCAGTGCGTCTTTCCTAGGCTCCCCTGATTAAAAACAGGCCAAAGCCATAAACAAAAGAAATATTAACCTGTCCATATTGTTATTATAGAGACTCCAGTAGCCTCAAAGGGATAATTGGGTGCCACAACCCTGATTCCTGAGGAGAGAGAGAAAATAAATCAATCAATAAAAATAATAAATAGATAAAAATAATTCACCCTCCATCATTTGTTCTTAATTCACAAGTTCCAAGTCCACACTGTGATCATCTAGGTCGACCTCCTGTATAACACAGGCTGCAGAACTTTCCCAGACTCACATGTTACATGGCCCAGGTCTGTGTTGTATCTCCTTTGTATCACACAACCCCCTAAATGTGTCACACAGTCCTCTTATTACCTTACATCCCGAACACCTGTTAACAGTATATTAAGGTTACAAAATGAAGCTCAGAGTTGCCTGTGCCACCCTAATTTCAGCCCTCTTGTGGGTGTGCATTATGCCAGTCTTTAATGACACGATCACATGGTGGTGTTTTTCCTCAGGACCCCTGCTTCAGTCAGTGAAGCGGTAGTTTGTCAATATTTCTTGTTATGCAGCACATTCAGGGTCTGTCTAGAATGCACACCTCTGTCGGCAGAGGGATGCAGATTAGGCAGGTCGACATTGCAAATGAGGCAGGGATTTAAATATCCCGTGCCTAATTTGCATAAAAATGGCTGCCGTGTTTTGCCGACTCAGCACTTTGTCGGCAAAAAGTGGCAGTCTAGAGGGGGATCAGTGGAGAAAGAAAGCCTTTTTCGACAGATCCCTTATGCCTCCTGCAAGGAGGTTTACAGGATCTGTCAAATAAAGCTTTCTTTCTCTACAGATCCCCCTCTAGACTGCCACTTTTTGCCAACAAAGTGCTGAGTCATCAAAACGTGGTGGCCATTTTTATGTAAATTAGGCACGGGATATTTAAATCCCTGCCTCATTTGCCATGTCGGCCTGCCTAATCTGCATCCCTCTACCGACAGAGGGGTGCAGTCTAGACATACCCTCAGTGTGTGGCCCTGTGCCTTAGATAAGGAACCCCATTTAAGCTCTGCTCAGGATATGGAATTCTGAGTTTCCTCCTGGTTATTTCTGAGGTGTTTTCATCACCGTCCGTGAGCATCTCATAAACATGAAGAGATTTATTTTCACAATACTCCCCTGAGGTGAGGGGCATTTTCATCCCCATTCTACAAAGGGAGAACTGAGTCACAGAGAGCTTGAGAACAAATGTGTCCATTGATGAGGAGTGTCTCATAGAGTCATGGTATATGTGCATCTCTCTGCACATGGCTGCATATGAATACAACATGTCAGCTGCCTCTGTAGCATGGAGAGAGACTTCTCCCCCCTTTTAAGGTGCAATACACAGAACTCAGGTCATAACAGATACAGGACTCCAGAGGGGATATCCGCCAGCATATCTACCTTTTTAAAGGCCAGGTCTACACCAAAAGGGAAGGCTGAATCAAGATACACAACTCCAGCTACGTTAATTATGTGGCTGGAGTTGGCATACCTTATTTAGAGTTTCCCCATTGTCCCCACAGCAAGAGGCTCCCGTTGGCTTCCCTTACTCCTCACACAGCCACTGATGGGGGCATCTTCTGAGTTCAATTTATCAAGTCTTAACTAGACTCTCTAAATCAAACTCTGGAAGATCAATCATTGCAGGGTTGATTTTCCGTTTAGTGAAGACGTGGCCAAAGTAATTAATAATTACTGAAATATATGAATTCCACGTTGAAACCCATTTCTGTGTCTTGTAGAAATGATCTCATCGCTCTCTTAACTGTCCTATACTATTGCTAAAACTCTTGCCAGCACTTTGTAGTAGCAGGACAGGACTCAGAAATCAGAAATCACCTGTAAGACATGGGTATGTTCATTCTGACATCACTTACAGGCATTGATTGTGCTCTGTGCTGCCATTGGATAATATTACCACCGTTAGTCGATCACAGGCTAACTTCTGATCCACCAACATGATGCAATCAGGAAAAAAGGCAAATGAGTGCTTAGGAAGTATGAAAGAAGGTATTTCCAGTAGAGATAGGGAAGTATTCATGCCTTGTACAAGGCACTTGTATGGCCTCATCTGGCATACTACAAACAGTTCTTGGCTCCCTTGTAGATGAAAGATTCATTCAAGCTGATACAGGTGAAAAGAAGGGCTGTAAGGATGCTTGAGAACGGACATCTTGCCCTAGGAGAGATCAAAAGAGTTTGGCTTGTTCAGCCTAGCAAAATGTGGACCGAGAAGGGAAATGATTAGTCTCCATAATTACATTGGTGGGGTAAACCCTAGAGAGTGAGAAATGCTATTGAAACTAACAGACAGAGTCAGCACAAGAACATGATCGATCCATGAAGAACTTTGTGCTTGGAAATTAGAAGGTGTCTAAGTATCAGAGGAATGAGAGTTTGGAACAGCCTCCTATGAGGAGCAGACGGGACAAACAATCCAGCTAGTTTCTGAATGGATCCTGATATGCTTATGAATGGGAGTGTATGATGAGGTTACCTGTCATAACAGGGGACTGGACTGGACTCAGTAGGTCCCTTCCAGTCCTAGATCCTGTGTTCCTAATAAAACATTGTACCTCGAGTGTAGCCATCATTCAAGGATCTCATTCATGAAGACACCTCTGCTAGAGCAGGAAAGTATTACAACCATTTTATTAAGTGGGTCGTTAAGCCATCAAGTAGTTGTGGCTGCTCCAAGACCACACAGTGAATCTGTGGTAGAGGTAGAGATTCTTGCAGCCGGATCATTTGCACAAGCCAATTAAAAATGTGTTTTCCATTCTACATTAGTTAATACCAGACAGCTGACACGTACCCACTGTGATAGTGGGATAGCTGAGATACTGAAGCTGTTTGTAAATGCAAGTGCTGCATAGAGGAAATACTGAAGACGCTCAGATACCAACAGATGGAAACTGAGGATAAATTATAGCATTTTTAATGGTAATCACCATAGTCAAAGCTGAGTTCCAGTTTCTATTCTAACCCCACTCTTCTCTGGATCTTTACCTCCATCAAGTATATTCTCTTTGGGTGGAAATTTTCTATGTTGGGTTTTAGTCTATGAGGGACTTATCATTGTTGTTATTTTTATTGATTAATGAAATTTCGGGTAAAGTCAATTCAGCTGCTTTTGTTGAGATATTTGCGCAGGACCACACTCTGCTTTCTAGCTTGTCATTTCTGTTTCTTCTTCAGGTTAAATCTTGTTGACCTAGAGCCAGTGAATCTATCCAGGTGACTATGGATGTCATCTTGAAGCAAGTGAGGAGGAGATAATATATTGTGTAATATCTCCTCCTATACCTGGATATGAAGATCAAATGGCAGAAGTGGAAATCACTGACATAATATTCATTGCCACATTATAAAATTTGGTAAATAGGAATAACATTTTCCAGACTCAACAATGTGTCAATTACATTTCATTACTATGCACTATATAAAATAATAGAATATTATAACTGGATGGGACCTCAAGAGATCATCAAGTCCAGGTGCCTGCTGTCACGGCAGGTCCAAGCACCATCTAGGTGCTGACAGATGTCTATCTAACCTGCTCTTAAATATCTCCCTGACAAGTGTATGTCTAACCTGCTCTTAAATATCTCCAGTGATGGAGATTCCACAACCTCCCCAGGCAAGTTATTCCAGTGCTTAACCACCCTGATGGGTAGAAAGTTTTTCCTAATGTTCAAATTAACCCTCCCTTGCTGCAATTTAATTTATTATAGTGTATAACTTCTATTCAGGGGTTCCTGGATGTCAAGGATTTTGAGTGATAAGGATACACATTTTAAAGAGCGAATTGGTAAGTAAGATGATAACGCCTTTGTGGGAGTTAGCTATATACTGTATTGATACATCAACCGGGTAGTGTAGGATGGATGGAAGATTTGAAGATGGGCTTGAACTGGAACATTGGACCTGAGCTCCCTCAAACTTTAGGAAAGTTTGGATTTGGATCAACGTCTGGATTCTAGTTTCTCTGAGTGATTGTGAACCCGGTACACATCTCTCCAACTCTCAGTCAGTTTCAGGTAGCAATCAGATTATACAGAATGAAGATTTTCAAGGAACTTAAATGTTCATAGAGTTGCTTCCTGTAATCTGTAGTCATCTAATTACAAATGGCCACATCCTGCTTGTCATATTTATATATAATACCCCCCATTGACCTCCAAAAATGTTGTGAATGAGTGAGTTGATGATTGCTCCCAGAAAGTACAGGAAAGATAATGATAGTACAAATACGTACAGAATGAATGTGCTTCAAACCTTCTTTGTAAACATCACCTTTAGGCGGAAAAAGATGTACCAGACACAATGATTTACCCAGTTTTACTGCTGAAATTGCCAATTAGAGTCAGCTTTGGGGGTTTCTGGGCTATGCGTTGAAA